GTGGTGCTGGGGGATTGAACCGCGGTCCCTGATGCCTTGCCAAGCTTGTTCTAAGTAGGTGCTTTAGACCACTGAGCCATCTCTCCAGCCCCTAGATTATTTTAAATGCTTGATAAAGATTTAAAATTTAGAAAATGTTGAATCGTTAACCCCTTCAAATAACTAAGGGTGGGCATGGTGGTCTCCATCTGTAATCCCAGCACTCAGGAGGCTGAGGCAGGAGGATCACTGCAAGCTCAAGGCTAGTGTAGGCTACACAGCAAAATCCTGTCTCAAAAAACCAAATGACTGATCAAGTAGATAGAGTAATGTACATATGGTCCTCCAGGGTCCTAAGATGACCCCAAGGGCTGGGGACATGGCTCACTGGAATAAGCACTTCCCTGGCAAGCACAAGGGCCTGAGTTCAATCCCTGGTTCCACAAAACAAACAAACAAACGAACAACCCCTCCCAAACTAAGATGACCCCAGCAATGGAACTGCACACTCGACCCTGCCAGCGCAAGACAAGCAGAGTCACTGAGCACCAAGGCGCTCATGCAGCCCTCAGGATGTCACACAGCATGGAAGATCAAATCCAGCCCATGTTACAGTAAGGTCACCCAGGTGAGGAGCCGAGGTGGGGAGCCGAGGTGGGGAGCCCTGGCGCCCACCAGTCAGTCCTGTCGCCATTAGCTCTGGGGCTGAGCGTTCTGTGTCCCAGGTCCTTCCTAGGGCTGGCAATGTGCTCATTGTCCTTTCTGCCTCACGCCTACCAGCTACCCCCACACCAGCAGGCATTTTCTGACATCTAAAATAAAATAATGCACACTACATTCCACGAATGCTCAAAACAAAGTAGAAAAAGTGTAAACTGCATATAACATTTTAACTCTTATAACAACACCACTGTGTAGCTCTGGTTTAGAAAGAAAAAAACAGGGGGTGGAACAAGACTAGTACACCCGACAGAAGAGAGTAGAAGGGGCAGGAATGAGCTACTCTGGGGACCACTGGGCTCATTTTTCTTGGTCTCAGAACTGTGATTGTTTTCTCTGGCATGCATATCAATACATACATACTCAGGACTCAGTGCAGCAGCTAACAGTCACCAAGGAGGTTCCCAAGGAAGCTGAGGAAGGAGGGTCCCAGGCTGTAAGACACCCAGGGCAGCTGAGCAAGACCCAGCCTCAAAGGATAAGGGGTAGAGTGCGGTTGAGGATAGCGCCCGCCCGGGCCTGCACTTGCCAAGGTGAATAGCGCCCTTGCTGGGCAGGCCCTTGCATGCACTGCGTAGGTCCGGAGGATGGGAGCGGGAAGGAGGAAAAATCCTGGCTGGGGACAGATCCCACAGCCTGTTCCGAAGACACCCGTATCACATCACAGGTTGAGCCTGGCAGCTCTGGATAGAAGTGCACTCAGAAGGCATGTGAATAGTAAAGGCAGGAAGACAGTGGAATGCGGCCTCTGAATTATTTAACTTGGAGTCTCGGCCCCTAGATCAATGCACACGTCCACAAAGCCACTAATCTTATGGTCACGCCCATGCTATACAACAAAGAGATGTGCTCAGTGGAATGAGTGCCTGCCTGGAAAACACAAGGTCCTGAGTTTGATCCCTGTACCAGGAGGAAAAACAAAACAAAAACAGAGTCACAGAAAATGCCGATGACTCTCTTCTTGGCCTTTTGGCCAAGATCAATGTAGAAAATGTCAAGTGCACTTAGCTTGAAACACTTCCCTTAGAGTTCAGGCAGTGCAACAGGTCGGACTGGGCTGTGCGTCCAGCCCCGAGCAGCATGGGGTTGGCACAGACCACTTAACCCTCTTTCTGAAAACTTCAATCTATGGCATGGGGCGAGCGGGGGGTTGGCGTTGGCTCAGTTGAAGGGTGAAATGCGGCGCACCCCAGGCTCCCTGCAGTGGAGCCCGCAGGACTGCCCGGGCTTCACCGGGGGAGGCGGGTGCCTGAGCTCTACACCTGCAGGGGACAGTTTCACCATCAGCAGCCTTTGTTTACCCTCTACCACTCGCTGTAAGGCCTGTCTTCTTTTAAGTACACTCAGCAGTGTACATGAAATTTGGATTAGAGAAAAGTTATTCACTTTATAATCGTAAGTTTTCTCTCACGCAACCAACAATATATTTGGCAAAAGTACTGTTTAAGTTACTTCACATTTGGTTACTGCCGAGGCGCTACCTTCTTTGGCAGTAACAAGGCAATGTGGCTAAGCCCTCGGACCCTTTTCGTGCTTTTGCATGCGCCCCATACAGGCAAAGCGCGGGCTGCAGCACACACGCAAACCTCATCCTCAGAGCAGCCAGGTCTGAACTACAAGCCCTCTCCCAGGGGGAGACAAAAATGAAAGGAAGGTGTCCCCTGAAACAGAGGCGGGGGGTGCGGGTGGGCGTTGGGACCCCTCCTGGAAAAAGCCGGTGCAGCAGCAGGGGAGCTGCGGTGGCAGCTGGGCTGGCCCACTCCTGACTCAGTAATCAGGGCTTTCCAGAGACTTTTTTTATCTTCCTGGACTGCTCTTTCCTGAAGGTATAAAACTAGAAAAATTATTCTTTCTTTGCTTTTGAAGTGAAGCTCAGGTTTTATCCGTAGAAATATGTCTTCACATATAATAGATATGGGAAAATATGAAATTTCATTTGATTGCTGATCATACATGAAAGCATATTTTAAGCATACAACTTACTACATTCTAATTTAATAATCTTGTAATAATCATTACAAAGGTTAGAACTTCATTCTTTAAAAACCAAAAGCATTATTTATCATTCAGTTACTTATGACACTCTTCCCAAAGTATCTATCAGCATTGGTAAACACTATAAGCAAACATTATGTACAGGGCACGGATCAAACAATGAAATGAATGGTGTAAGAACAATTAAGGAGAGATGGCTCAGTAGAATAAGCGCTTCCCTGGCAAGAGCAAGAGTCTGAGTTCAATCCCGGTTCCGCAAAAAAAAAAAAAAAAGCATTTATCTACCTTTCTTGAGACAGGGTCTTACTATGCAGTACAGGCTGGCCTTGAGCTCACTCTGTAGCTCAGGCTGGCCTCAAACTTGCACTGATGCTCCTGCTCAGCCTTGAAGTGCTGGGATGACAGGCATGCCCACCCAACACTGAGCTGCTGCTGCTTGGTTTTTTGTATGTGGTACTGGGGAGTGAACTCGGGACCATACACCTCAAATAACTAATTTTTGGTCAGGCACGGGAGTGCTTGCCTGTGCTCCCAGCACTCAGTAGCCGAGGCAGGGGGGTCAGGCACGGGAGTGCCTGCCTGTGCTCCCAGCACTCAGCAGCCGAGGCAGGGGGGTCAGGCACGGGAGTGCTTGCCTGTGCTCCCAGCACTCAGTAGCCGAGGCAGGAGGGTCAGGCATGGGAGCTAGGCCAGCTTGGGCTACCACGAGTTTAAGGCCAGTGCAAACTACAGGGGAGATCCTGTCTGAAAACAAAACAAAAAATCCCACTAATTTTTAAAATATAGCCTTAATATCTATTAAATATCATGTTATAGAATATGGAGGCTTTACACATGTTACATGTGCTATATAACTCACTTCTGTCTTCCCAGAGCTCTAGGGCTCTAGCCCTGGTAAGCAGCCTTCTCCCTCTAGCACTGGCTCTCAGTTCTGTGATATTGTCTATTTCACGCATGGCTACAAAGCTAAGACAGTAAGAATGAAACTTTATCCTCTGCTACCAGGAAGAGACTCAGCCCCTCCCAAGAAAGTGCGAACAGCCTGACTCCAAGGCAAGTGGAACAAGTGCAGGAGGATTTCTTTTTCCATAAAAACAACAGTATTTGTCTGACTGAAGGAGGATAAGAGATCACAAACTTAGGGAAGAAAAATGGGAACCAATGCCCGGAACCACGGCTGGACGCAGCACGGTGCTAGAGCGTGTGCTTAGCATGCACGAGGCTCTGGGCGGTCCCCAGTGGAAGGAGAGGCGGACAGATGAAGACCAGCACCATCCGGAGTCACAGGAAAGACAGGAGTGGAAAGGGAAAAACAAGAATCTCCTTTCATGTACTAAATATTGTGTGTGTCCAAGAAAATTGCATTTGCTTAGGTATGTGAGCCCCAGAATGATTATAAAACCCAAAACAATTTTCATACAACCAACACAGAACCAAATGCAACGCATGAAAGGGACTGTAAAAGGAAAGTCAGAAGACCCAAAGTACATTTTCTAATTTGGTCTGAAGAGATCGCGCGATGGAACTCCTGCTCACAACGCTGACACCCCAAGCCCAAAGGGCATTTTAGAGTCACTTACACTTAATACACTTTACTGCTTCCACAAATTTAAGCTAAGTGAGTTTTTCATACTGGACTGTAACTGGAAAGATCCTTACCAATAATTCACCAATGCAGCATTTCCAAACTAATGGTTACAAAACTAACTAATTCTCCCACCTCAAGCTCAGGCAATCTTCATGATGGGGACACACGTTTTTGCTTAGCTAACCAAGGAAATAAGCAGTGCAAATACCTTGAGTAACCAAGTTATTCTGCGGCATGCCAATTCACTACATGAAAAGTTAACTGCATAATTTAAAAGATTAACATTTAGTAAGGTAAATGCCACATGACATTTAATATTTTCCAGAAATAATTCCCAAGAATTTTTCTGATTTTCAACGAAAAATTAAGACATACTTCCTCAGGCCCACTTCTGCTCCCAATCAGAAACCCACCTCCGTGTGTCTCTGATGCAGCGCGTTATATTCCTTCTTCAGTTCTGCTTCTCTCTCTTCAAGTCTGCTAACTGAAATTAAGACACATACACTTAATCAGAACCAAATATGAGAAACTGTGTCAAAATAACTGGCCTTAAAAATTCAGAACGGGTTTTCCATCATCTTTAGCAATTTAAGGCTCTGCGCTTCATACGAAACTGCACATGTGGTGTCCTCACTCCGTGACCCTGAGTAAGTCTTTAGAGGAAGAGAAATGGGAGGACAAATCCAAACCCCAAAAATGGCACAATCAGGTTGTTTCCTAATGTTTATCAGGTCATCCTTTTACGTGGTTTTTAATATAACAAAGAATCACCCCTTTCAAACATGGGGATCACCTCGTATGAATATTAAGCTGGTACTGGGCCCAAATCCTTCTACAACTGGTCCAGCTTTGCCCAGCTGCCGGCGCACCGCTGTAGCTGAGCGCTTTCCCGCCTTGCTCCTGAGTTCTGTGCCCATCATCTGTTATCTGGCTCCCTCTGCTGGTGACTTGTGGAGTAGCGCTTACACAGTACAACTTTAGGATCTTCTAATGCCAAGGACAGGCTTCCAATCTTTAGCACAGAAGGTCAGCAAAGATTTCACAGGAGACCATGGCCAGGGGAAAGGAGGTGACTGGGGGAAGAGAGGGAGCCCAAGCAAGAACCCAAAGCAACTCCAGTCAAGATGGGTGGTGACAAGCATGTTCTAGGCGCTGCCATCGGAAGGGCACAAAGACATGCTGCAGTGGAAGTGGTCGATGGCGGGACTGCTGGGATTGGCAGGCGGACGGGCAGTGAGGGATTGTCATGTGGGGAGAAGGAAGGCCTGCGCATACTGTGTCCTAGCGGGGTGCGGTGGCGCGTGCCTGCAACTGCAGCACTCAGGAGGCTGAGGCAGGAGGATCATGAGTTTGAGGTCAGCCTGGGCTACACAGTGAAACCAACTACATATCAAGATCCTGTCTCAAAAAGAGAAGACAGTGTCAGGATGGCTTTCTTGGCTTCCCTGGAGTGCTCTCAGTGAGGGTCAGCTAGCACAGAAGGCCCCTTACAGGCTACAGCCTGAGACTGCGGCAGAGAGCTGCAGGGTGACAGCTGTGCGCTGCTGCTCCAGCAGACACAAGCGGACGGCGCGGCGCCTGAAGTCCACGCGCCTGGCCTCTGATCTGCGCAGCCCAGCAAACTCAGCTTACCTTACTCTGCCACATCTGTTTGAAATATATCATTAAATAGGAAAACAAGAACTGATTATACTATGCTTTGTTCCTCATTCAAGCCCAGGAGCCTTGGCCCGTTAAATCTGCCCAGGGAAGGAAGCCCCAGCCAAGCACCCGGCGCCCTCCCCATGTGGGAAGCCTGGTGCTGCTGGCTCAGTGTGTGGCTGAGGGTGACAGGCACACGGGAACACAAGGTCTCGGTATAGATACTGCCACCACAGCAATTTCAGGTGCTACCTCAAAAGACAGGACAGTCAGACAAATTAAACACACGGGCGATACTTTCTTTGGCACCAGAAACTGAACTCTCGATTTCATGCTTGCCAGGTGGGTGCTGTGTCCCGGGCCCCATCCTACTTCTCCTTGTCAATTACACTTACCTGAAAGTTTCAGCTCAACCCTAGATTACTGGACAACTATCAATTTTCAGTTACTCAACTTCATCTTTGTGAATCAAAGATGACGCAGGGACACAGTGCCCGCTGGGCAAGCATGAGAGTGAGTTCAATTTCTGGTGAAAAAAAAAAAAAAAAAAGTAACACACATGTGTTTGATTTGCCTGGCTTTCCTGTCTTTTAGGTAGATGATGTACCAACAAAATACAAATTGGATGCTGAGCCTAAAATATAGTCCAACTCTCCTTCATAAACCTTGCATTAGGTCTGCGCTGACTTCCCGCTGACGACCACACCCAGTGTCAGCCACGAGATGACACGGGCATCACGACACACGCTTCAGTGCGGAGGAATCAGGCAAACGGAGGTCCACTTCCCCCACGTGGCCACGGTGGCCACAGTGACTCCTTCCTTCCAGAGGAGGCTGGCTCCAGAACCAGGGCTCTTAATTCTCCCGCTGTGGTGCTCTCAACAAACGCTCCTTTTGCCGAGTGTGGCGGCCCATATGCCAGCTGTCCCAGCACTTCCAGCAAGCTGAGGAAGGAGGCTGGCCAAGCCTCTTGAGCTCAGCCCGGCCAGCTTAATGACTTTGCAAGACTCTCACAAAGTACAAAATAAAAAGGGGCTAGGGATGTAGCTCAGCGTAAAAGGCCTGGATTCACTCTTCAGTTCTACAAAAAAGAAAGCAGAAGAATGCTCCACTCCTTTCAGTCTTGAAGTCTATTTAAGACTTCACTGAGCTGGGGTGGTGGCACACACCTGTAATCTTAGTACTCAGGAGGCTGAGGCACAAGGATGACTTGGAGTTCAAGGCCAGGCTGAACTGCATAGTGAAATCTTGTCTCCAAAAGACAAAGACAAACAAAAAAGATTTCACAGAGGGAAGGAGGTAAGCTTCAAACAAAAAATGTTGTGATAGAAATAACCCAGTCACAGACCTCTGAAAGGAAAACAACAAAGTGCCAAACAAAAATGTATCTCAACTTTATTAATCATGGAGACTGAGACTGCCACGGCTTACATGTATTCTGTCCCCCAAAGGTTCCTGTGCTGGAAGCGTGGGTCCCCAGGATGGTGGTGTAGGAGACGGTGTGGAACCCTAAAGAGGTGGGGACCAGCGAGAGGTCCAGGGGTCACTGGAGGTGCTGCCTGGGAAGCAATCCAGGTCGCTCCGGTGGAACCCCTGGGTTCTTGTGAGAGCAAGCTGACCCTGGTAACCAGTTACACAAATCAAGAAGTCTAGTAAGTGATACAAGATCTACTGCTAGGGAACCACAGGCCCGTAGCGATGGGCCCCATTTAGGAACCAGGAACTAGGCGGTCGGGATACCGGGGCAGCGCAAGGCGTAGCTTCCCAGCAGCCACTCACTGCACGCCACACTGCAAGGCCTGGGCTTTCGGGACCTGGGCGTGCCTCAGCCACACAGCAAGACCCTAGTCTTGGAATGCCAAAAACCAGAACAAAAAAGGAAAGTCAAATATAAGTGAACAAAACCCCAACATTTAGTAAATGCTGAATAAATTCACAAATATGCAGTGAAGAGTTTTAAAAGTAATAATAAAATCAGGTCAGAGGAAACATTTTTAAAATCAGATTATATGAGCACAAATGATAAATGTTAACTTTTAATTAAAATTGTCTTTCTCATGCAGTTCACAGTAGAAAGGAGACACAGGTGGCTGCCATTCGCCGTTTGCCCTTCGCCTTAACGCTTGTGCACATCCAGCTAAGGCAGCCTCCTCTTGTTCCTGGACACAAAGTGACGCTGTCAGCTCCGACTCCTGTGCCAGCTTCTGGCTCCTGACGTGGTCAAAGGCCCCGGCCCCTGTACGCAGTTCCTTCCTGCCCTTCCTGCCCCTCCTGCCTGATGCTGGCTGTAAGATAAGCCTATAGCCAAAGAGGAAAGTGATCGATGATGCAGAGTGTGCCTAAGGAGAGTCACATGGGGAGAAAACATTCTCTCAGGCTTTCACAGAGAGCACACTGGCCAAGCAATGGCCCTGACTCATCCACATGGCTGACACTGACAAACAATCTGAGGTACAGGATCTCAGCATAAATCCTGAGGGGATTTCACTGACCTTCTCAGACCCAAAAGCTACAACTCTTGTTGCATAGGTCCTGCTTTACCTTGGTCTTAACCATCCAGCAGAAGAGTATAAAGGCGAAGTATAAGAAGTAAAGCCATGGTGTTATGTTGAGCTGTAGGGGACTCAAGTCAACAATTTCTGACATTGCCAGTCAAGCGGAAGACCCAGTACTATTATGGACTCCTGGACTCTTAGTATATTTTGCTGAGTTAACACACCTATAATATTCAAATAATGGAACTAAACAAAAAAGGGGATACAGATGAATGTCCATTTTGTATCTGTGTATTCAAAGTGGTTAGGATAGTTATATAGTTACATTATCTTAATGAATAGAGGGATTTGTTGTAATAGTGTTTGTAAATAGGATATCATGTTTGCATCTTGTACAGCAATTAACCACCAGAAAGAATGTTTGCAATGTGTTAATTATTGAAATTGTCCTACCAATTTGGTTTGAAGCTGTCTCATTGCTATTTGTTTCTCAATAAAATTATGGAAAAAAAAATAAGCCTATAAACGGCAGGTGCCTCTGCTTCCAAAGACTCCTACTTGTCACGAACACCCGCTTTTATTTTTTCTATGTTTTATTTTTGAGACAGGGTCGCCCTATACATATAGTCCAGGCTGGCCTTAAGCTCTCTCTGTAGCCCAGGCTGGTCTCGAACTTGCACTGATCCTCCTGTCTCAGCCTCCTGGGTGCAGGAATTACAGATGTGCACTGTCACACCACGTTTAGGAACACCCACTTTAAAAACTTTACGCAAGGAATAAGATGAGAGTCCTTCTGTAGCTTAATGACAGGGAACAGCCTCAAAAACACCCTGTCACCCAGTTTCGCCGCAGACATACTTTCGCAAACTAGGACAGCTAGGACGTCAGCAGGGGATATAATCCCATGAGTGCGGTGGCACACATGCAGGCCGGGTCTCGCTGTTACACAGAGAGGCAGTGCACAACTGTGTAAGTTCCATGACTTGGCTACAGCAGCCGGAGTTAGTGTAGCATACATTAGCTCGTAAACATATATTAAAGTTCTCATAGAATAAAAACCTTCTAAGTCACCGAAGCTGTCACCCATTATGCTTTAAGAATAACTGATGTAGCCAAGCACAGTGACACATGCCTATCATCTCAGCTACTTAGGAGGCTGAGGCAGGAAGATTACAAGTGAAGGTCAACCTGGGCCACTTAGCAATTTAGTGAGACCCTGCCTCAAAATTTACAAATAAGAAAAGGCTGGATGTACAGCTCTAAATAAACAGATAAATAAGGCAAGGAAGCTACACACAGTGGCTCACACTTGTGTCTTGGAACTGAGGGGGGCTGAGGCAGGAAGATG